GAGAGAGAGAGAAGGAGAGAGAGAGAGAGAAGGAGAGAGGAGAGAGAGAGAAGGAGAGAGAGAAGAAGAGAGAGAGAGAGAGAGAGAAGAGGGAGAGAGAGAAGGGGAGAGAGAGAAGGAGGGAGGGAGGGAGGGAGAGGAGGGAGGGAGGAGGGAGGGAGGAGAGGGAGGGAGAGAGAGAGAGAGAGAGAGAGAGAGAGAGAGAGAGAGAGAGGAGAGAGAGAGAGAGAGAGAGAGAGAGAGGAGAGAGAAGAGAGAGAAAGAAGAGGAAAGAGAGAAAGAGAGGAGAGAAAGAGAGAGAGAGAAGAGGAGAGAGAGGAGAGAGAGAGAGAGAGAGAGAAGAGAGAGAGGAGAGGAGGAGAGAGAGAGAGAGAGAGAGAGAGAGAGAGAGAGAGAAGAGAAAGAGAGGGAGAGAGAAGAGAGAAGAAAGAGAGGGAGAGAGAGAAGGAGAAGGAAAGAGAGGGAGAGAGAGGGAGAGAGAGAAGGAGAAGGAAAGAAAGGGAGAGAGAGAGGGAGAGAGGGAGAGAGAGAAGGAGAAGGAAAGAAAGGGAGAGAGAGAGGGAGAGAGGGAGAGCGAGAAGGAGAAGGAAAGAAAGGGAGAGAGGGGAGAGAGGGAGAGAGAGAAGGAGAAGGAAAGAAAGGGAGAGAGAGAGGGAGAGAGGAGAGCGAGAAGGAGAAGGAAGAAAGGGAGAGAGGGAGGGAGAGAGGGAGAGAGAGAGGGAGAGAGGGAGAGAGAGAGAGAGTGGTGGGGGAGGGAAAGAGAGAGGGAAAGAGAGGAAAACAGAGAGAGGGAAAAAAAGGAAAGAGAGAGAGAGAGAGAGAGAGAGAGAGAGAGAGAGAGAGAGAGAGAGAGAGAGAGAGAGAGAGAGAGAGAGAGAGAGAGAGAGAGAGAGAGAGAAAGAAGAAAGAGTTTCTTAACCTAGTTATTTGGTACAGAGAAAGAATACCATTAATGAATGTCTGCCATAACTTGTCATGCTTTTCTCCCAATAATAACTAATAATAATAATAATGATAAAAATCAAGCAAAACATATTTTAAAGAGAGCCTACTTCTAGGAACCTCTCAAATATGGGTTACAAAACGAGACTAAAGATCTACACTAAAAGACAAAGCAATAAGATATGATAAAAGATTCATTCAAGGAGACAGCCAATGGAAAAGGAGCCATAGGAAATATCTGGAATCCAGTCGATGTATGGAAAACGTCAGTAATGATTATGAGCAACAACAATAAAAAAGTACAGTGATGTATTTGTTCTTAGATAAACTTGGTAAAATTCTGGAAGTATATTGCCTCATTTGGATTGATGGATCTCTTCCCACAGCAGCTTTTAATTCCCCCCATTTCATAACATCCCATTTCTTCTGGATTTAACTTAGAAAAAATATAATCCTCGGTCTAATATTCTTGAAGACTGTTTTGATTCCACTGCATCTACATTTTCTGGATGTCAGAATTTCCACAACAAAGATTCTCCTAAAATTGTTACAAAACAAAAACAAAACAAACTAATAATACTAATAAAAAAAACAAAAAAAATAAATAAATAATAATAAATAAAAAAAAAACACTGCTAGTGTGTGGCAGTTGGTGCTGGTAAAGGCCAAGACTTTTAATATCATTCTAATTAGTTATAATAATCAAACAAAGAACTGTTTCTTGGCAAGAGTTACAAATACGAAAGCAACAATATTAACAATAACATACAATAATAAATATAATGATAATAAATATAACATTAATCCTATCATAAGCCTGTGAATCTCTTGTTTTGGGTTAAGGTGTGCTGAACTTTGGATTTGGCAGTGCTGCCCTTGTCTGATTGGATGCCCTCCTAACACTAAACGTGGTCCAAGAATAACAATAAAAATTTATATTATCATCATTATTATCATTCTTATCATAACATTATTATTATTAATGTCATAATAATGAATATAAGAATAGAAAGCTCATCATAAACTCTTGACTTATCTGCATATTGGGGACATGAACCAAAAGCAAGATTTTAGAAGCCATCGTTACCGTACCTTCTCTTCGCCATCACCACAGTTACTGTCCCCATACCAGACGTGGCTAGAGAGATGTGACAAACATCCATCCATCCATCTGTTAATCCATCCGCATGTGAGACAAAGAAGCCGGTGGTGACTGACAGAGACATCGCTGGGCGCACACCGCACAACGAACACACTCACCTCTCCTTTATTTCCTCCTCAACTGCCACCTGCTGACTACCCGCAAAAATTTTCTCAGCCTGCAGGGGACCAAACTGCAGCCTTTTGGTCAGCAACTGTCTCGCATAAACTCCTGCCAAAACAATTTTTTCTTCGGTTAAATCAGTTCTTTCTTATTTATTCATTTTTTGATTTTTTGAGTGAACAGTCATCAAGATGAGGTGATCTGAAAATCAGGTTGGAAGTTCTATTCTAAATTAATATCAAGAGACTTTTTAAAGAATGGATATTAATTTATCAAATCTAGAAATTTCAAGGCCTCTTCTTTGTAAGTGAGATTACTTTAACTATCAAGAAAGTAAAAAACTTTAGATATATGCAAAGAAAAGACATGAACATAAAAAACAGGAGTCAAGACCAACTCGTAATACTCAACAATTCAAACAATTTTGTGAGCAGCTTACTCAGGCTAGAGTGAAAATCAAAAATTCAGTTTAAAAATTGTAAGTCTTTCACTTTTACAACTTTTGTAAACCATTTAAAAAAAGATTGTAACTATTTCACATCTTTTAAGAAATAAACCCTCCATCAATTTGGAAAATGAAGGGAAACCAAAAATCCTTTTCATCAGAGAGGGATAATCATAACAACAAAAAATATATATAAAATAAAAAATAAAAACAAATAAATAAGTAAATAAATAAATAAAATAAATACTACTAATAATAACAGTAACAATAATAGTAATAAAAAAATAATAATGATGATGATAAAAATACTAATAATGAAAAAAAAAAAAAAAAATTGTGAGGAGTTACATTTTGAAGAAGAATAAGAAGAAAATGAGAAAGAAACAGAAAAAGAAAAATAAAGAAAGAAAGAAAGAAAAAAAGAAAGAAAGAAAGAAAGAAAAAAAAACTGTCTTTCTAACCAATGAAGTACAATGTGGCTAGTTAGTATTTACAGGTCAAGCAATTACTCTCAACCAGACCTCAGTTATACTGAAAAACAAAATGTGACTCACTCTCTCTCTCCATTTCACACACACACACACACACACACACACACACACACACACACACACAACACACACACACACACAACACACAACACACACACACACACCACACACACAAGCTCACTCACAAACACACACAAACACACACACACAGAGGGGGAGGGAGGGGGAGGGGGAGAGAGAGAGAGAGAGAGAGAGAGAGAGAGAGAGAGAGAGAGAGAGAGAGAGAGAGAGAGAGAGAGAGAGAGAGAGAGAGAGAGAGAGAGAGAGAGAGAGAGAGAGAGAGAGAAATTATTGTTTCTAAATGAATAGTGGACATGAAAATATATCTTAATATCTCAAGACAAAATGTCAATCACATTTTCAGGCAAACCTTATCTAATCTGCAGACACTGATTACTTTATATCGAAACATATTAAATCCGACATGGACCCCCAATTAAGAAAGCTGGACAATTACACCACTCCTGTTACTGTTCTATTTATTTTGACTGAAAAATACAAAATCATCTTTTTTTGTTCCAAGTTTTCTCGAACCTTAGTAAAATTGGAGCCTTTAGATAACTCACACTGATGCATGCAAACAATAATGACAAGCATGCTATAACCAATTATGATGATTAAGCTAACTTATCTCAACTCGTACCAGGTAACCCCTTATAACATCATGGCGAAAACTGTCCTCATACTTCGTCAGCACCGGTGGCTCGGATGGTGCCTTTGGACCCCAGATAAGAGGCAGGCAAAATCCAATAAATGATGCAGTGCATCTACCTTTGCCAAACCTTAGGTGAAATTTTACCCAATGCGAAAAGGTTAAAATAAAATATGAATGGAGTCTACACTTTTCAATCTACTACCCAGCTACCTGAGAGGGAGGATTACAGGATTGATCCAATTCTATTATGAAAATTCTATCGGTTTTCAAGTCAAGTTTTAATATAAATATTAACATAATCAATACAGAATAATCAAGACACTCTAATATTTGTTTGGCTGTATGGTAGGGAGCAGTTTTCAAGAGTCATAGGCCTTGATATCTTATGGGCAATATTGATAACTTGACTTTTATCATGATTTCTACATAGCTGATGTGTGAACAGAAACTGCAGCTCTTGCTTCCATGTACACATTAGCGCCACAAGTCCCATTTGTCACAACTGTAGTTAACTGCTGCTAGTATAAACAGTACTATTCAAAATATTTGTGCCATGGCTGTCAAAAGAGGCAGGATTTTTCATGCAACCTTTTTATATGTAGTGCCAACAAACATATCTGAAACTGTTTGGCAAGACTGTTTTTCTACAATTCATACATCTAGATATTTATAAATACATCTAAATACACATCTTGTCATTCAATTTGCTAAACAAGGACTTCATTTGTATAATTTACATATTCATGGCAATCTCTCCCCGTTTTTTATTTGCATACGTATAGGGTAACTGTGATTACATTTTCAACTTTGCAGTATACTCTACTGCATTTGAGATATGACAGTGAAAATACACTTTCTGGTGTGTAAAACTGAGCTTTTCATATGTCTGCAACCGTAAAAGCATAAAAGAGTAACGAGGAAAAAAAAAAAAAAAAAAAAAAAAAAGTCCAATTGCATTGGTATCGTCTGTTTTTGCTTATTTTTCAACTCATTTTGCCAAATTTTATGAAACATACACATTTTATTTAGACCTTAATGAGATCCCTGAGTTCAATTTTTATCAAAATCCCCCAATTAGTTTTTGATTTACAGAAAAAAAAAAAAAAAAAAGCTTAAATGTTTAATAATCTAAAAAAGTTACAC